CGTGTCCAAAAAAAAAAAAAAAAAAAAAAAAGGTGGGGGGGCGGATACAGGGGGCATTTTTCCCAGACTCCCGGGGACCAGGCAGTTGATGGCTTCACAGCTTGTCCTTTGAACACCCTGAGTGCTCAGCGTGGAGGCTGGCACGGGAAAAGAGGAGTCTGTTCCGTCTGTGCCCGGGAAAGGTCAGGGCAAAAATATCTGCTGGGAGGAACAGGGCGGGCCACAGCGGGCTGACTCCACCCCTGCTCCTCCCTCCATCCTCCGGCGGGACGGGCTCCAGGACTCAGGCAAATGAAATGAGGGGGTCTCTTGTTAGAAAAGTATTAAGACTTTCCAGACCGCAACAGCAGAGGTTTTATCTTTTCTTTCCCCTCCCCCCGCCCCCATTTTAGAGACAGGGTCTTGCTTTGTCACCCAGACTAGGGTGCAGTGGCATGATCATAGCCCACTGTAGCCTTGAACTCCGGGGCTCAGGGGATCCTCCTGCCTCAGCCTCCTAAGCACCTGGGACTTCAGGCAGGCACCACTACACCTGGCTAAGTTTTACATTTTTTTTTGTAGAGACTCGGACAGTGGGGTATGGGGTCTCTACGTTGCCCAGGCTAGTCTCCAGCTCCTGGGCTCAAGTGATCCTCTTGCTTTGGCCTCCCAAAGTGCTGGGATTACCGGTGTGAGCCATGGCACATGGCCAACAGCAGAGCTTTAAAAAGCACGGGGCCTTTCTTTTTTTTCTTTTGAGATGGAGTCTCCCTCTGTCACCCAGGCAGAAGTGCAGTGGCGCAATCTCAGCTCACTGCAGCCTCCGCCTCCCGGGTTCAAGCAATCCTCCTACCTCAGCCTCCCAAGAATCCGGGAGCTAGAATGACAGGTGCACATCACCATGCCTGGCTAATTTTTGTATTTTTAGTAGATCTGGGGTTTCCCCATGTTGGCCAGGCTGGTCTCAAACTCCTGACCTCAAGTTGTCTACTTGCCTCGGCCTCCCAAAGTGCTGGGATTACAGGCCAAAGCACAGGGCCTTTCTGAGGGAGGGAGCCTGTATGACTCCACAGGTCAGTCGCCTGTGATGCCAGTCTCAGTTTCATGGGACCAGAGTCTGAAATCAAGTACCCCTAGGGCAGCTGTGATACCCCCTTCCCAGGGCTCTAAGCTGGTCATAGCTGGGCTGCCCTGGAGGACACTGGAATAGCCTCATCTTGGGAAGCGACATGCAGGGGTCACCTCCAAGCTAACGGCTGGCAGTGGCTCATATTCATGGTTGGGATGTCTCTGCGGGTGACAGGTATAGCCCACCCACTTGAGAGCTGCAGAAGAGTTGGTAACAAGCATCTTACTAAACCAGAATCTTAATAGTGGTGAACGTAGTAACGGGGAAGTAGAATTGACCAAATATGGCATTGTGCTAATCTCTCTCCCCGTCTCACTCACTCATCTGGTTCACAGAATTACCCCTTGTGGTGAGAACCATTATTAACCGTTTTTTTTTTTTTTTTTTTTTTCTTTTTTCCCCGAGACGGAGTCTTGCCCTGGTCACCCAGACTGGAGTGCAGCAGCGCCAACTCAGCTCGCTGCAACCTCCACCTCCCGGGTTCAAACGATTCCCCTGCCTCAGCTTCCTGAGAAGCTGGGATTACAGGTGCCCACCATCACGTTCAGCTAATTTTTGTATTTTTAGTACAGACAGGGTTTCACCATCTTGGCCAGGCTGGTCTTGAACTCCTGACCTCACGACCCACCTTGGCCTCCCAAAGTGCTGGGATTACAGGCATGAGCCATTGTGCCCAGCCATTTTATTTTTATTCATTCATTCATTCATTTTGAGACAGAGTTTCGCTCTTGTCGCCCAGGTTGGGGTGCAATGGTGTGATCTCAGCTCACTACAACCTCCGCCTCTTGGATTCAAGCGATTCTCCTGCCTCAGCCTCCTGAATAGCTGGGACTACAGGTGCACGTCGCCTTGCCTGGCTAATTTTTGTATTTTTAGTAGAGATGGGGTTTTACCATGTTAGCCAGGCTGGTCTTGAACTCCTGACCTCAGGTGATTCACCTGCCTCAGTCTCCCAAAGTGTTGGGATTACAGGCGTGAGCCCCTGCACCCGGCCTGACTTTAGAGATGAAAAAACTGCAGCTCAGAGAGGTTCATTAACTTGCCCTAGGTCACACAGCAACCAAGTGGCAGCCAGGACTTGAGCTCCACAGGCTGGGCCCAGTGCTAAAACCAAATTGCAACGGAGAAGGCAGCACAGAATGGTTGGGCAAGGGGTTTGTAGGGGGCTGTTTGAAATGATGCTGAACAAGAGTCTGTTCACAAAATTGCTTCTTCATTATAAAATAGCATTATTCAGACAGCCCCCTATAAACTCCTTGCGACTTGTTCCAGAAATGCACTTAGGCTGCATGCAGTGACTCACGCCTATCATCTCAGCATTTTGGGAGGCCGAGGTGGGTGGATCACATGAGGTCAGGAGTTTGAGACCAGCCTGGCCAACACGGTGAACCCCGTCTCTACTAAAAATACAAAAATTAGCCAGGTGTGGTGGCAGGTGCCTGTAATCCCAGCTACTCGGGAGGCTGAGGCAGGAGAATTACTTGTACCTGGGGGGTGGAGGTTGCAGTGAGCTGAGATGGTGCCACTGCACTCCAGCCAGGGCAACAAAGCAAGACTGTCTCAAAAAAAAAAAAAAAGGAATTGCACCTGAACAAGGCCAGCAAGCAGCCCCGCAGGCCCGTGTGAATGTCTGGGGAAGTGGGGCAGCTGTTTTTGCCTACCTAGCATCTGTTCATCCTTTATTTTTTATAGAGATGGGGTCTCACTATGTTGCCCAGTCTGGTCTCACATGTGATCCTCCCACCTCAGCCTCCCAAAGTGCTGGGATTGCAGGTGTGAGCCGCCATGCCCAATCCTGTTTATCCTTATTCCTTTGGCGAAATGACACTCACTCTTGGCTCCAGGGAGGAGTCCAGCCAATCAGAGTGCTTGTTCCTCCTGAGCCACAGTGATTAGTTCTGGGAGGGGCATGGGATCCAAGTTCACTGGGGGTGGGGGAAGTCACACTAAGGATAACATCAATACAGAAGGAAACAAAGCCAAGAGGCAGAGAGTGAACTCAGAAAATTCAATGAGTCCCTGGATCCAGCTGAACCTGAAGCCAGCCACTCCATGGAATTTTAACTCTGCACATCAATTATCTTTCTCACTTGAACCCATCTGAGTTGGATCAGCCTCTTGTCATCAGAAGCACATGATGAAGATTATAAATTAGGATGATTCTAGTCTCTCAATTCCTTCCTTTCTTGCAAAGGCACAATAAATCCCCACCGGTAGGCTCTGGGCCCTGAGAGTGTTACTGGTTCAAGAAGGGAGATCAAGGTCCTCCCAAAAAAACCAAAGTAGGAAAGTTTGGGCTCACTTTCATGTATTCCTTTTTTTTTTTTTTTTTTTTTTGAGGCGGAGTTTCGCTCTGTCGCCCAGGCTGGAGTGCAGTGGCCGGATCTCAGCTCACTGCAAGCTCCGCCTCCCGGGTTCACGCCATTCTCCTGCCTCAGCCTCCCGAGTAGCTGGGACTACAGGCGCCCGCCACCTCGCCCGGCTAGATTTTTGTATTTTTTAGTAGAGACGGGGTTTCACCGGGTTAGCCAGGATGGTCTTGATCTCCTGACCTCGTGATCCGCCCGTCTCGGCCTCCCAAAGTGCTGGGATTACAGGCTTGAGCCACCGCGCCCGGCCAACTTTCATGTATTCCTTTGGTGCTTGTCCCCAAAGCCCAGGGCCCGGTTCATCCTCCGCCCACCCTGGGGAGCCCAATACCTCGGAGGACAGTGAGCTTGGCATGGACTGTAATCTCCCCAACCGAGTTCTGGGCCACACACTCGTACACGTTTTCATCCCGCGGTGTCCTCAGAGGCTGGATCCTCAGCACTGCCCCCGCACTCTCATCAAACTCAATCGTCTGCCGTGGGCAGGGGAAAAAAGGACAGGGTGAGGCTGGCGTCCCCAGGAAGGTTCCTGTCTAGGCTGGGCTGTAGGGGGATGGCAGTCAGCCCCATGATCCTGGGGGTGACTGGGAGAAGAGCTGGAGGCTGAATGTGCATGTGTGTCGGTGTCCAGTATAAATGCTTGGGAGACAGAGACCAGATTTGGGTACATGTAAGAACACGGTGTTGTGTGCATGTGTGACTGTGATGAACGTTTGCAAGCCCATGTGACAGGCATGCAAAGGCGTGTGAAGACATGCGGAATGTGGCAATGTGCATGTGTGATCATGTGCATGTATTCAGAGTTGTAAAGTTCCTTTTGTGTGCACTGGTGCTGTGTACACTGAGCTGTGAAGAAGACTCAGAGAGGGCAGGGCTTTGCTTGAGGCCACACAGCATGGAGCTGGTAGAACAAGTGAGGCGGGCAGGGCCCCAGCTGGAGTCTGCACAGCCACACTTGCCCGGCCACCGACGCCTGGGCTCCACCTGGGGAATGTGTCCACCATGTCTTCTGTGGCTGAGGTGCTGTGGCCCTGCCTTGGGGGAGCGTTGACCCCGGGCTGCCTCTCCCCACCCCAACTCACCTCAAAGCGCTGAGAGTTGACCTTCTTGCCCTTCTTGTTCCAGGTCACTCGTGGTTTGGGGTCGCCCGTGGCTTGACACACGAAAGAGGCCACACCCCCGGACACACCGATCTGGTCCTTGGGTTCTTTGATAAACCTGGGGGGCTCTGGGGATACAGCAGAAAGAAGGGGGGAGCTGATGGGTCCAGGCATCTGGCTAGGATACCACAGCGCTACGAAAACCTGCCCTCCACCCTCTGCCCATAGAAATGCCACGTGGCCAATGGAGAGAGAGGGAGGAAAGCAAGGATGACAATGAACACCCTCCCACCTCATGTGGTACCTGCCATGGCACCCAGGTAGCCACATATCCCCACTTCCACCTGCAACAGCCACACCTGCCCACACGTGGACACAACCTCACCTGGGCACACCTGCTCAGACACACTGCCAATGGGAAAGATGGAAGGGGAGACCCGTGAGATGTGGGGTCCCTAAATTCAGCACCTGAACCCCCCTCCATGGTGACCAGCCAAACCCTGGAGGGCCCTGAAAACACCTGCCAGAAGATAACTTGGTCTAATTCCCTGGTGAGACACGTGAGGAAACTGAGGCACCCAGCATGGGGGTGACCATGGGATATGAAGCCAGAGCCAGCATTCGAACCCAGAGCTCCAGCTTCTTGGGAGGCATCCAGGACATGGGTGGACACAAGGGGTCAGTGCCCACGAGAGTGGTCTGAGCTAGAGGCAGGAGCTCAGAAAGGGTGAGTAATATTTAATATTTAATATTTAACCTCTCCAACAGCATGCAGGGGCAGTGACATCCTGATCTTCATTTTCTTTTTTTTTTTTCTTTCAAAGAGAGTCTCGCACTGCTGCCCAGGCTGGAGCGCAGTGTTGTGATCTCGGCTCACTGCAACCTCTGTCTCCTGGGTTCAAGTGATTCTCCTGCCTCAGCCTCCTGAGTAGCTGGGACTACAGGTGCCCACCACCACGCCTGACTAACTTTTTGTATTTTTAGTAAAGATGGGTTTCACCATGTTAGCTAGGATGGTCTCCATCTCCTGACCTCGTGATCCGCCTGCCTCGACCTCCCAAAGTGCTGGGATTACAGGCATGAGCCACCGTGCCTGGGCTTTTCTATTTTTCTTTTTTTTTTAAGAGATAGGGATTCACTCTGTCACCCAGACTGGAGTGCAGTGGCACGGTCTTGGCTCACTGCAGCCTAGACCTCCCAGGCTCAAGCAATCCTCCCACGTTGGCCTCCCAAGTAGCTGGGACTACAGGTACAGGCCATGACACCTGTAATCCCAGCACTTTGGGAGGCTGAGGCTGGAGGATCACCTGAAGTCAGGAGTTCGAGACCAACCTCACCAACATGGTGAAACCCCATCTCTACTAAAGAAACAAAAATTAGCCAGACATAGTGGTGGGCACCTGTAATTCCAATTGCTTGGCAAGCTGAGGCAAAATAACTGCTTGAACCTTGGAGATGGAGGCTGCAGTGAACCGAGATCATGGTACTGCACTTCAACCTGGGCAACAGAGTGAGACTCCGTCTTATAGAGATGGGGTCTCACTATGTTGCCCAGGCTGGTCTGGAACTCCTGGCCTCAAGTGATCCTCCCACCTTGGCCTCCCAAGTAGCTACGTTGTCCAGCCTGGTCTCAAACTCCTAGCCTTGAACTATCCTCCCACTTCAGCCTCCCAAGTTGCCAGATTTATAGGCGTGAACCACCATACCCGGCTCTGCAATCCCCATTTTATATGGGAGGAAACTGAGACACAAACCAGACAAGGGACTCGCTTTGGCTGGACACGCAGCCAGGTGGTGGCTGAGCTGAACATGCTCCTTCGACCCAGGCTGGCTTTCACACCCACATTCTTCACCCTCCATGACTATCTGATGTATTCATTCAGTCTCCGCAGTAAAGTCTGGAGTAGGAGTGTTTTTTGTGTGTTTGTTTTTGAGATGAAGTCTCGCTCTGTCACCAGGTCACCAGGCTGGAGTGCAGCGGCGTGATCTCGGCTCAGTGCAATCTCCCCCTCTCAGGTTCAAGAGATTCTCCTGCCTCTACCTCCCGAGTAGCTGGGATTATAGGCACGCACCACCATGCCTGGCTAATTTTTGTATTTTTAGTAGAGATGGGGTTTCACCATGTTGGCCAGGGTAGTCTCGAACTCCTGACCTCAAGTGTTCCACCTACCTTGGCCTCCGAAAGTGCTGGGATTACAGGTGTCAGTCACTGCACCCGGCCTGGAGTATGCGTGTTTTTTTGTTTTTGTTGAGACAGAATCTCGCTGTCGCCTAGGCTGGAGTGCAGTGGCGTGATCTTGGCTCACTGCAAGTTCCACCTCCCAGGTTCACGCCATTCTCCTGCCTCAGCCTCCCGAGTAGCTGGGACTACAGGCGCCCGCCACCTCGCCCGGCTAATGTTTTTTGTATTTTTAGTAGAGATGGGGTTTCACGGTGTTAGCCAGGATGGTCTCGATCTCCTGGCCTTGTGATCCACCTACCTTGGCCTCCCAAAGTGTTGGGATTACAGGCATGAGCCACTGCACCAGGCTGAGTACCCCTGTTTTAACACCCTAGAGTAACCTCAATCAGCTGCACCTGGGACAGGCTACCATATCTGTGGAGAATTCATTAACACTGTTTCCTTTTTATTGACTATTTTTACAGTAACCTTTGCATCTCCCAGAGGGATACTACATTTCCGTTCACAGGAATGTTACAACGTATCCCCTAAGATGAATGGAGCTACTGCTGAGATTTTTTCTTTTTTTTTTTTTTTTGAGACAGAGTCTTGCTCTGCCGCCCAGGCTGGAGTGGAGTGGCATGATCTCCGCTCACTGCAAGCTCCGCCTCCCGGGTTCACACCATTCTCCTGCCTCAACCTCCCAAGTAGCTGGGACTACAGGCGCCCGCCACCATGCCCTGCTAATTTTTTTGTTTTGTTTTGAGGGCTGCAACATACTTACAAGAGTCCTCAGGAAGCAGCCTATATATCCAATAAAAAGGAACTGATCAAGCGAATGCCAGGCTATCGATGCAGCAGCGGAATACTACATAAATACAAAAAGGGGGAAAAGGCCAGGCACGGTGGCTCACGCTTCTAATCCCAGCACTTTGGTAGGTGGGCGGATCACGAGATCAGGAGATCAAGATCATCCTGGCTAACATGGTGAAACCCTGTCTCTACTAAAAATACAAAAAATTAGCCGGGCGTGGTGGCGGGCGCCTGTAGTCCCAGCTACTCAGGAGGCTGAGGCAGGAGAATGGTGTGAACCCGGGAGGCGGAGCTTGCAGTGAGCTGAGATCGCACCACTGCACTCCAGCCCGGGCAACCGAGTGAGACTCCATCTCAAAAAAAAAAAAAAGTGGGGGAAAGCCTCTCTTCCTCGGCACTGCCTATGGAGGTGGCAGTCGTCTCCTCCTTGGCATCATGGCTGCCTCAGACCCCTCATGAAGCCCAAGATCGTCAAAAAGAGAACGAAGCAGTTCATCCGGCACCAGTCAGAACAATATGTCAAAATTAAGCGTAACTGGCGGACACCCAGAGGTACTGACAACAGGGTTCGCAGAAGGTGCAAGGGCCAGATCCTGATGCCCAACACTGGTTATGGGAGCAACAAAAACCAAGAGTACATGCTGCCCTGTGGCTTCCGGAAGTTCCTGGTCCCCAGCGTCAAGGAGCTGGAAGTTCTGCTGGTGTGCAACAAACCTCCCTGTGCTAAGATCGCTCACAGTACTTCCTCCAAGAACCGCAAAGCCATCAAAACCATCACGGAAAGGGCCGCCCAGCTGGCCATCAGAGTCACCCACCCCAATGTCAGGCTGCGCAGTGAAGAAATGAGTAGACAGTTCACGTGCAGGTTTTGTGTTTAAACAAATGTACTGCCAAAAAAAAGGGGGGGGGGATGGGGGGAAGGATGCATTTTTGTTTCAGACAGGGACTCGCTCTGTTGCCCAGGCTGGAGTGCAGTGGCATGAACACAGCTCACTGCAGCCTCAATTTCCCAGGCTCAAGCGATCCTCCCAACTCAGCCTCCTGAGTCACTACGACTACAGTCACGTGCCATCACGCCTGGCTAATTTTTGTACTGAGTTTTGCCATGTTGCCCAGGCTGGTCTCGAACTCCTGTCCTCAAGGGATCCTCTCACATCGGGATGCTTTTTTTTTTTTTTTTTGAGACAGAGTCTCGCTCTGTCGCCCAGGCTGGTGTGCAGTGGTGCCTCCTGGGTTCACGCCATTCTCCTGCCTCAGCCTCCCACATAGCTGGGACTACAGGCGCCCACCACCACACCCGGCTAATTTTTTGTAATTTTTAGTAGAGACAGGGTTTCACCGTGTCAGCCAGGATGGTCTCAATTTCCTGACCTCATGATCCGCCTGCCTCGGCCTCCCAAAGTGCTGGGATTATAGGCGTCAGCTACCGCGCCTGGCCTCGGGATGCTTTTTGATTATTTATTTATTTATTTTTGTGGCAGGGTCTCACTCTGTCACCCAGGCTCAAGTGCAGGGCGCGATCTCGGCTCACTACAACTTCCACCTCCCTGGTTCAAGCAGACTCTTCCGCCTTAGCCACCTGAGTAGCTGGGATTACAGGCGCATATCACGCCCGGCTAAGTTTTGTATTTTTGGTAGAGACAGGGTTTCCCCATGTTGGCCAGGCTCATCTCGAACTCTTGGCCTCAGGTGATCCACCTGCCTCAGCCTCCCAACTTGCTGGGATTACAGGCATGAGCCAACACGCCCGGCCAGGATGCTTTTTAAAATAAACTACTAGGGTAGGAACAAGAAGATGAACTATTAAATGGAGGGGGTGTGTGTAAGCAAGAGGTAATAAAGTATAGCAAATAAAGTATAGTTGCATGATTTTTTAAAATGAAAAAGGGCGGGGTGTGGTGGCTCATGCCTGTAATTCCAGCACTTTGAGAGGCTGAGGCGGGTTCTCTAGATTAGGAGATCAAGACTAGCCTGACCAACATGGTGAAAACCTCATCTCTGCTAAAAATACAAAAATTAGCCAGGCTTGGTGGTGGGTGCCTGTAATCCCAGCTACTCAGGAGGCTGAAGCAGAAGAATCGCTTGAACCCAGAAGGTGGAAGTTGCAGTGAGCTGAGATCGCACCACTGCACTCCAGCCTGGGCGACATACCAAAACTCTGTCTCAAAAAAAAAAAAAAAAAAAAGGAAAAAAGAAAAAAGGGAACGATTGTGTGTATGTGTAGAAACAGTACTGCCTCCAGGGAGCTGAGTGGCTGGACACAGGGACAGAGACTTTCACTTTGGTACCTTTTTGGATTTAGAACTAAAGACAAATTGAAGAAGTTATTTTTATTATTTTAAATTTTTCTTAGTTTTTTTTTTTTTTTTTTTGCAGAGACAGGGTCTCACGCTCACCCAAGGTTGGATTGCAGTGGTGCAATCATAGCTCACTGCAGCCTCAAACTCCTGGGCTCCAGGGATCCTCAGTCTTCTGGGTAATTGGGACCACAGGCGCTTGCCACCACACGCAGCTAATTTTTAATCTGTTCTAGAGACAGGGTCTCGCTATGTTTCCCAGGCTGGTCTGGAACTCCTGAGCTCAAGCGAACCTCCCATCTCAGTCTCCCAAAGCTCGGGGATTAGCGGTGTGAGCCACCGTGCCCAGCTGAAGTTATTTATTTTTATTTTTACTTTTTTTTTTGAGACAGAGTCTCACTCTGTCGCCCAGGCTGGACTCGCTGTAAGCTCTGCCTCCCGGGTTCATGCCATTCTCCTGCCTCAGCCTCCCGAGTAGCTGGGACTAAAGGCACCTGCCACCATGCCCGGCTAATTTTTTTGTATTTTTCGTAGAAAGGGGGTTTCACCGTGTTAGCCAGGATGGTCTCGATCTCCTGACCTCATGATCTGCCCGCCTCAGCCTCCCAAAGTGCTGGGATTACAGGCGTGAGCCACCACGCCTGGCCTGAAGTTATTTTAAACGATAAAACTGCTTAAGTAGGCCAGGCGTGGTGGCTCATGCCTGTAAGCCCAGCACTTTGGGAGGCCGAGGTGGGTGGATCACAAAGTCAGGAGATCGAGACCATCCTGGCTAGCATGGTGAAACCCTGTCTTTACCAAAAATACAAAAATTAGCCAGGCATGGTGGCGGGCGCCTGTAGTCCCAGCTACTCAGGAGGCTGAGGCCAGAGAATGGCAGGTAAACCCAGCAGGCGGAGCTTGCAGTGAGCCGAGATCGCGCCACTGCACTCCAGCCTGGGCGACAGAGCAAGACTCCGTCTGTTTAAAAAAAAAAAAAAAAAATTGGTTAAATAAAAAAGTGAGCTGATTAAAGAAAAAATGGAGCACAACTTTATTTTAAGTAAAAGTTTGGGGTCTGAGGACAGGCAGAGGTCTAACAACTCAAACTTGAGCAATGCTAGGACTTTGAGCCTCTACCACCAGCTGGAAATGGGTGGAGTGAGTCCAGGGGCCACACAGATTGACCAGAAAAGTTCTGGAAAGTTCCAGCTATTCAGAAGTCCAGAGTCCTTAAGAAGGCCTGAGGTTCCAAGTGTAGGTCCCTGTGGGCCTCAACGCCTACCCATCCATAGCTCAGGCTGGGCTTTAAACAAAAGAGTTCCTGCTCCAGTGGCCTGACCAGCCTAACCTCCCTCACTCAAGGTTCTGTTCCTGTTGATATGACCATATGTGTCTGCTTTGAGCATCTGTCCCAAAAGTCACTAGACCTGGTTGGGCGCAGTGGTTCATGCCTATAATCCCAGCACTTTGGGAGAGGATTGGATTACCTGAGGTCAGGAGTTCAGGACCAGCCTGGCCAACATGATGAAACCCCGTCTCTACTAAAAAATACAAAAATCAGCCGGGCATGGTGGCAGGTGCCTGTAATCCCAGCTACTTGGGAGGCTGAGGCAGGAGAATCGTTTGAACCCAGGAGGCAGAGGTTACAATGAGCTGAGATCATGCCATTGCATTCCAGCGTGGGTGACAAAAGCAAAACTCCATCTCAAAAAAAAAAAAAAAGTCACTAGAACCACCATGTACAGGAATGCACGACCTCCCTTAACCCTTTTTTTTTTTTGAGATGGAGTCTCGCTCTGCTGCCCAGGCTGGAATGCAGTGGCGCAATCTTGGCTCACTGCAACCTCCGCCTCCCGGGTTCAAGCAATTCTCCTGCCTCAGCCTCTAGAGTAGCTGGGATTACAGGTGCCCACCACCACGCCCGGCTGATTTTAGTATTTTTAGTAGAGACGGGGTTTCAGCATGTTGGCCAGGCTGGTCTCCAACTCCTGACCTCAAATGATCCACCCACCTCGGTCTCCCAAAGTGCTGGAATTGCAGATGTGAGGTGCTGCGCCTGGCCCCTCAACTCTTATTTATCCCTCTGATGAAGCAACAGCCAGTCCCACTGTACAGATTCAGGAATGTTAATGGGTTCGCAGAGCTCAGAGCTCAGAAGCTGGGCGTGGTAGCTCACGCCTGTAATCCCAGCAGTTTGGGAGGCCAAAGCGGGAGGATCACCTGAGGTTGGGAGTTCGAGACCAGCTTGAAAAACATGGTGAAACCCCATCTCTACTAAAAATACAAAAATTAGCCCGGGATGGTGGCAGGCACCTGTAATCTCAGCTACCTGGGAGGCTGAGGCAGGAGAATTACTTGAATCTGGGAGACAGAGGTTGCAGTGAGCTGAGATCACACCATTGCACTCCAGGGTGGGTGACAGGGCAAGACTCTGTCTCAAAACACAAACCACCACAAAAAAATATCACAGAGCTCAGAAAAAACAACACTGGAATGTGAACCCGGGTTTCTGCCTCCAAGCCGACATCTTACTCTCCTTCCACATCCAGACCTTGAGCCTGATTAGGGCAGATGTTTTGCTCCACATTGAGCCTGGGCCTGCCCCCTCCTTCTGGCCTCAGGAATGGTGACCCGGGGCCATGAGTCCTCAGCCAAGGACATGAGGAAAAGTCACTGTGGCTGGGTCAAGAATGTTACTTCTGGTAAAAACTCTCCCTCTGGAGCTGCTGGAAGGAAGGGCAGAAGCGGGCTGCGGGTAGAGACACATCCAGCTGCCTGTCTGACCTAGAGCCCGAACACACCCCTTGCCCCCTCCACTCCAGCGAGCAAGACCAGGCGGGTGCCACAATCAGCCACTGTCTGTGTTGTTCCTTCCTCCCGGGGTCCCTTCCTCCTCCTCTCGTCTGGCAGCTTCAACCTCAGCTCGGCCAGCACCTCCCCAGGGAGCTTCCTTGGGTTACTGCAGGCCCGGTCAGGAGTCCCTTATGCCACCGCAGCCTGGGCGTCCCCAGAACACTGGGCTGAAATACCTGCTTGTGTGGTTCTCAGCAGAAAGGCCAAGGGACAGCCTCAGTTCCCTGGGACCTCAGACTTCCTCTCGGTGTCTGGTGAGCCTTGAGAAAACGGAGCTCCCAACATCACTGCCTGCTCTCAGATTTGGAGGGGTTCTACCTCTCGGAAGTACCCCCACCCCTGCAGATCAAACACCCTCTCCGTCTTCTCCAGGCAGCTTTGGGATCCGAGCCAGCCTGGAAGAGCTGTCTCTGCCCACTGCGTTCCCCGTCAGAAAATGTCTCGCGGATGCTTGGAATCTCTCCTTTGGACAAAGCTTCCCCACCTTTTTCTCAGCAAAGGGGCAGACACGCAGGAAGGACACCTTCGGGGCTTGAGGGGTCCGCACCTGCAGCTCGAGAGGCACAAAGACACGCCATGTGCTAAGTTTTATGCCTGTGGCCAGGAGGAGCAAAACTGAGGCTCAGAAAGGTGAACAGGCCGGGCGCGGTGGCTCACACCTATAATCCCGGCACTTTGGGAGGCTGAGGCGGGAAGATCACCTGAGGTCAGGAGTTCAAGACCAGCCTGGCCAACACAGCAAAACCCCACCTCTACCAAAAATACAAAAATTAGCTAGGCATGGTGGTGCGCGCCTGTAATCCCAGCTACTCGGAGGCTGAGGCAGGAGAATCGCTTGAACCCGGGAGGCAGAGGCTGCAGTGGGAGCCGAGATCGTGCCACTGCACTCCAGCCTGGGCGACAGAACAAGACTTCATCTCAAAAAAAAGAAAAAAAAAAAAAAAAAAAAAAGAGAAGGGTCACACATGTGATGGGCAGAGAAAGGATTCCAACCCAGGCCTGTCTGGCTCCACTGCCCTGAAAATAACGCAGGCTGGATACATGGGCTTGTGGGTCTTTATTGACCACAAGTACCGTGGATGTCCCTGTTTCTTAGACGAAGAGACAGAAGTTCAGGTGGTCCTGTCAGTATCAAAAAAGCTGGGAAGGGAACCCGGCTGTCTCTGGAGGCAACGGGCCTGAGCCTCCCGCTCCGTGGCCTGGCTTGGCGCCATCTCTGTTTTTCCATTTCAGATTCTGCAGACAAGAATTCAGTGCCAGAGCTGGCGACCCACCCACCCTGTCCCCTCCAACCCTGCCCGGGGCCAGCCCCACGGCATCCTGGGAAGGCCCCACTGGACCTGAAGTGGTTTCTAGAGCAGAAATTGTTCCCTTCTGCCTGGAATCCCAGCACTTTTGCCTGGAATCCCGGCACTCTGGGAGGCCGAGGTGGGCAGATCACCTGAGGTCAGGAGTTCAAGACCAGCCTGGCCAATGTGGTGAAACTCCATCTCTACTAAAAATACAAAAATGAGCTGGGCATGGTGGTAGGTGCCAGTAATTCCAGCTCCTCGGGAGACTGAGGCACGAGAATCGCTTGAACCTGGGAGGTGGAGGTTGCAGTGAGCCGAGATTGCACCACTGCACTCCAGCCTGGACAACAGAGCGAGACTCCATTTCAAAAAAAAAAACAAAAGAAAAGAAAAACTGAAAGGGGTCAGTACTGAAGGCCAGACATCCCCAATGCAGGGGAGAGAGGCCAGGAAGACTCAGGCCCTGGAGGCGGCCGGACAGATCACGGCGCAGCTATACCTGGCTTCTGGTCCCTGAGGGAGTATGGTCATGGGGAACTTGGCCTGTGGGACCAGGCAGCTCAGGTTCAAATGGCCACTTCTGGTCGGGCACAGTGGCTCACGCTTGTAATCCCAGCACTTTGGGAGGCTGAGTTGGGAGGATCGCTTAAATCTAGGAGTTTGAGACCAGCCTGGGCAACACAGTAAAAACTCCGTGTCTGTAAGAAATCTAAAAAATTAGCCAGGCCAGGCACTGGGGCTCAGGCCTGTAATCCCAGTATTTTAGGAGGCTGGGGTGGAGGACTGCTTAAGCCCATGAGTATGAGACTGGTTCGGGCAACATAGTAAGAACTCTATCTCTACAAGAAATTTAAAAAATTAGCCAGGCCGGCCGGGCTCAGTGGCTCATGCCTGTAATCCCAGCACTTTGGGAGGCCGAGGCAGGAGGATCATGATGAGGTCAGGAGATTGAGACCACCCTGGCTAACATGGTGAAACCCCATCTCTACTAAAAATACAAAAAATTAGCCAGGCGTGGTGGTGCGCACCTGTGATCCCAGCTACTCGGGAGGCTGAGGCAGGAGAATCGCTTGAACCCGGGAGGCAGAGGTTGCAGTGAGCCGAGATTGTGCCACTGCACTCCAGCCTGGGGAACAAGAGCAAGACTCCATCTCATAAATACATAAAAAATACATATATATATAAAAATAAAAGCCAGGCCAGGCACAGAGGCTCATGCCTATAATCCCAGCACTTTGGGAGGCCAAGGCGCTTCAGCCCATCAATTTTCTTTTTTTTTTGGAGACAAGGTCTGAATCTGTTGCCCAGGCTGGAGTGCAGTGGTGCAATCAGTTTCCGTAGCTGTATGACGGGGATGCTGATAATCGCATTCACCTCATCAGGGTGTGCTGGCTGATCTGAACGTATAGTGGCATTTACTAAAAAACAGCATGAAGCTGGATGCCATGGCTGGCTCACACCTGTAATTCTAGCACTTTGGAAGGCCAAGGCAGGTGGATTGCTTGAGCTCAGGAGTTCAAGACCAGCCTGGGCAACACAGTGAAACCGCATCTCTACAAAAAATTTTAAAAATTAGCCGGGCATGATAGTCCACGCCTGTAGTCTCAGCTGCTTGGGAGGCTGAGGTGGGAGGATCGCTTCAGCCTGAGAAGTGGAGGTTGCTGAGATCCTGCCACTGCCCTCCAGCCTGGGTGACAGAGTGAAACCCCATGTCAAAAAGAAGAAACAACAATAAAAAAAAGCAGCACGAAAATAAGAAGAAGCACAAATGAATGAGTCAGGGGTGTATGTCTCCAGTTTGTTCACCAGCAATAACACTTATGCTTGTGGGAACACAGGATTGCTGGCCTGCTATGTGCCCTGCTATGTGCCCAGCTATGCGCCCAGCAGCAGGCAGGGGCTTATGACATGTCCACGTCACAGGAATGCTGGATGTGCATAATGATATGAGCCCTGTGGCGGTGGGTAAGGGAGGCTGAGCCACTAGCCCGAGGTTGTGCAGCAGGTTAGCAGCAGAGCCAGGATTCAAACCCAGCCTAACTATAGAACCCAGTCTCTTTCCCTACTCCCCTGATCCCCTATGTCCTCATGGGCCTGAGTGATGCCTTCTCCAGGTCCTTCATGGTGGGGTGAGTCTTGGCATTGGGCCCCAAATGGACCCTCATCCTCTTCACATTATAGCCAGAAATGCTGCCTTGCCCATCTCTAAACTATACCAACCTCTTTCATCTCCAGGCCTTCCCGGGTGCTGTCATCCTGACGAGGAATAGCTTTTCTATTGGCGAACTCCTATACACTCACAAAACCCCAGTCCCAATGCCCTTTCTCCCAAGAAGCCTCCCCTGGCTCCGCCTGAGACAGTTTGTCTGTGTGTGTGTCTGCCACCAGGTGTAGCTACTGCCCACAGCAAGGAAAGGTGAACTCTGTGGCTCACTAAGGAGTGACCTCAAATAAGTCCTTGCCTCTTTTGAGCCTTGTTTTCCTTCACTGGAAAACATGGAAGGTAACAGAACTGGCACACTGGGTTTTGTCAGGCTCAAGGGAGAGGAAGCAGGTAAAATCTGTGCTGAGCATGGAGCCTGGTGCTGAGTTGATGCTGGGGAAACAGACACCACCATCATTGTTACTGTTATTTATGAATACCAGCATTGTTATTTATCTCTGAATCTCTCAGGGCCCAGCACACATCCCTCAGCGTTCAGCCTCATCTGTGGAGCATAAAAGTTCTACTTGGCGGCCGGGCACGGTGGCTCACGCCTGTAATCCCAGCACTTTGGGAGGCCGAGGCAGGTGGAACCCGACGTCAGGAGATCGAGACCATCCTGGCTAACATGGTGAAACCCCGTCTCTACTAAAAATACAAAAAAATTAGCCGGGCGTGGTGGTGGGTGCCTGTAGTCCCAGCTACTCGGGAGGCTGAGGCAGGAGAATGGTGTGAACCCGGGAGGCGGAACTTGCAGTGAGCTGAGACTGCGCCATTGCACTCCAGCTTGGGCGACAGAGCGAGACCTCGTCTCAAAAAAAAAAAAAAAAAGTTCCATTTGGCAAAACGGAGGGCCCCCGGGAGGAGGTGGGGAGCGTGCTCTCACACACACAGCCATAAATGCACACAGGTAAACAAACATGCAGACACCTGCACACCCTGTGCCAGCTTCTTACCTTCTGCTGCGCAGCCTCCAACGAGCAGGACCACAAGGAGGCCCATGGGACCAACCACGGATACCATGCCAGGGCCCCAGGTGGGCGCCATGCTTGGCAGCGACCTCCGATCTCCGCCCTGGAGGGGGATGGCCCCCCGGTCCCTCACAGAGAGGCCTCGAGCCGAGCGTCAGATGGGGCAGCGTCTGCAGAGACAATGGAGGGCTGTGAGAGGCGAGTGGGGAAATCCAGGAGACCTTCATGGAGGAGGCAGCGGGAGGGTCACATGGAGCAGGGGAGGGTCCTGAGGGGGCTGGTCATGGGAAAATGGGGAAGGATCACGGGGTGATGGGATGGAATGAAAGTGCTGGGCCCCTGCTATAGAATTAATGTGTCCCCCCCGCCAAAAAGAAAATCGTATGTTGAAACCTAGTCCCCACTAGGATGGTAATAGGAGGTGGAGTCTTTGGGAAGTGACTAAGTCATGAGGGTAGAGACCTCATGAATGGGATTAGTATCATAAATGCCCTCCCGGAAAGCTCCCTTGCCCTTTCTGCCACATGAGGACACAGGGAGAAGATGCCTTCCATGAACCAGAAGACAGCCCTTACCAGACACCAAATCTGTGTTGTCTTGATCTTCGGCTTCCCAGCCTCTAGAACTGTGAGGTACGAATTTCTGTCGTTTACAAGCCACTTGGTCTGTGGTATTTGGCTATAGCAGCCCAAATGGACTAAGGCAGCCTCCAACCACCAGCGAAACCCCAACCCCAGCATGAGTCCCCAACCCGGGCGGGGCCCGTGACTCAGACCAAGCCCCACACCAGGACTGAGGACCTCTGGGGGTGCTGAGCCCCGATTTTCTCCAACTCACAGGCTGCTTCTCAGGAAGGAGGGGACTCCAGACTATGCTGTTGTCTGGCTCTAAAACCTGGTCCCCCAAGTCATGAGACAAATCTCTTCCACACACCTGCCTGTCCCTGCCCTGCTCTAAGACCTCCCATGGCTCCCGGAGCCCCCAGGGGAAGCCACTCCTGCTGACTTCACTGTTTCCCCTCGCTTGGAGGTACAGCCAGGCCGGCCAAGCTCAGTCCCACCTCCAAGCCT